AGTGGCTTCATGGAGACAGGGCTGTGGCTGACCACAAGAGCCTAGCCAGGGAAACCAGGCTGCTGCAGGGGCTGTGCAGACACTTCAGGGCCTATGGGACTGGGGACTTGGAGGTGTCGTGAGAATAAGGGGATGAGAAGAGTGGGACCTAGATGGATCTCAAAAGCTAATATCCAGGTTCCTTGGGTAGCCCATCTGGGTGCAAGCTGGCTGGATTAGGTCAAAGAGGAAGGCCATGGCTGCATGGGGGAGGCCAGCAAGCAAAGGATAGGAGGGGAAGTGTGTGTGGAACAGAGATCAATGTCTCCTCTATTCTCTGCAAGCCTCTTTTACAGACCTTATCTGCCATCCCTACCTACACTGACCCCCTTTGGACTCAGTAACTCCCTCATCTTGGGTTGCTGTTTGAACATTCCTTTGCTCTCCTTGCCTGGGCCAATCTCTTCCATGCAGCCTTTCTGATTCTGTTTCCCTTCACTTCTACCACAGGCTTGGGGACAGTCACTTGAGAATGACTTTTGTGGCTTCCATGAAAAGATTGTAAGGGGGCCAATTTGCAAAGAAGAGGTTCAACTTTTCTGGAGCATTTTCCAGGTCTGTGGAGACCTCAATCTAGCTTGGTGAGTGGGGCTACTAAAAGCACTAGGTAGTGGAAAGAATTCAGGACAGGACAGCCAGAAGGAACAAGGCCAGCTGGGACCTCCAGGCAATGGCGTGGCCATTGTGGCTTGGAAACCCAGAGCCAGCTCTAACTGGGGTGGACAATAGCTAAAAGCAGATGGGAGGGGCCCTAGCAAGGGTCATGGTAAGGCCAGGCACTGGGTTACCAGATAGGACCTTGGGGACCCAGGTGGGCAATAGGCTTCTCAAAATGGTGCGATGTTAAGGTCACCAACATTACCTGGGCCTGACTCAGCCTCCAGCACGGGGGCAGGACAGGGCATAAAAAAGGCAAATGGGCCAGAGCCTCACTAGAGGTGCTCCCCTTGGCTAGCAGGCAGCCCCTCATACTCCTCCCCATTCATGGACATGCTCGCCCAGCCACTCACTCATTCTCATACCCCTAGCTTGTTCACTCCATTTCACCCCTCACCCATGGCCACACATTGCTTATCCCATAGTATCTGTTCCTCCCTGGGACAGCAAGTGCCCATGGTGCCAGGCCTGTTGAGCTTAAGTCTTAAGGCAAACAGAGCTTTCTTTTCAAGATAGGCAGTACCCAGAAGGTCTCCAGTGCAATAGTGTTAGTGGAAGAGGCCACATGGAGGCTAAAGACAAAGGGCATAAAGAAGCCTCAGGCAGGCTTGAGCCAGCAGGGTTTACAAGGGGCTGCAGATAGGAGGGTAGGGAGGATCAGAGTGTCCAGAGCAAAGAGCCTTGGGGTGTGAGGAAGTAGGCTGTGGGTTAATTGCATGACAAAGACTCAACAGAAGCAAAGGAGGAAAGCTAATTTTAACTCACAGCTTTGGGGTCTCAATCTACCATGGAGAGGAAGGCATGGCAGAGAGGAACAGCTCAGATCATGGCAGGTGAGGACACTGTAGAAGCTGACATGCTAGTCACATTCTCCTCTCCTGCTTTTATTCCATCTGGGACCCCAGCCTATGGAATGGTGCCATCCAACATTTGGGCCAGGTCTTCTCTCAACTGATTCCTTCTGGAAGCGTCCTTATAGACATACCCAGACGTGTGCTTGGCTCATCTTCTAGGTACTTCTAAATCCATTTAAGTTGACAGTGACGGTGGGGTAGGGAGCCTGAGGTGAAAATTTCACATTAGAGTTGTAAGACAAGGGAAAGAGATGGAGAGTGGATCTCAGGACACTCGTCAGGGTCCCATACTAGGAAGGGGTATGGATTGTGGATGGAGAGCAGTGAGATGGGCTAATTGAGGCAAGTGGTTAGCCTGCTGCCTAAGGGTCTGGTATGCACCCCCAACTTGACAAGACTGGGCAGTTGGAGCATCTGCTCAGGATTCTGAGAAGATATTCCAAATATGGGGTGAATCTGTAGACAACACATGAGACCAGGTGCACTGAACTGTGGGCCTCCACGCGGCCGCGGTGACACGTAAGGCATAAGGTCCCCAGATCCCTGCACCATTTTGACAGGTCCAAGGAGAACCTCTGAAGCCTATATGTGGGTAGGATGGTTCAGCCATGGAGAAGAAAGGGCTGAAGCCAAGCCAGAGGATGCCAGAAGAAAGGATTGTCAGGGTAAAGATGGCAGAGTGGCCTCGGAGTCACCACCACACCCCATGTTAAGTAGCTGTCTTAGTCACTGTTCTATTGGTGTGAAGAGACACCACGACCAAGACCATGCTTATAAAAGAAAGCATTTTATTGGAGGCTAGCTTATCGTCACCGCAGGAAGAAGCATGGTGGCAAGCATGGTGCCACCAAGCAGGCTCTGGAGCAGTAACTGAGAGCTTCATCCTGATCTGTAAGTAGAAAGAGAAAGAGGGAGACACTGGGCCTGGTGTGAGCTTTTGAAAACTTACAGCCCACCCCCAGTGACATTTCCTCTAACAAAGCCACACCTACTCCAACAAGGCCACACCTTCTAATCCTTCTCAAATAGTGCCCCTCCCTGATGACTAAGCACTCAAATATATGAACCTGTGGGGACATTCTTATTCAAACCTCCACAGTAGCTGAGCAGAAAAGGCTGGGCCAAGGCCTCCTGGATGTCACACTGCCTACAGGACCAACTGTGGTATCTCTGGAGTGAATGGGGGGGCAAGGAGAGGCTTAAGGTGACTAAGGGAGGGGATGAGAAGGCTTGGGGTGGTTGAGAGTTGCTGTGTCCTTGCTCTGTCTCCAGGTAGGTAAGAAACATGGATATCCTGTCCTTGCCAGGTGCTGTCCTCCCAAAGAATCACTGGACCCATTTTGGCTATGCTTGGCGATGGCTTCTTTGGATCCACAAAAAGATTCAACCCCCTCAGCCCATGGGAAAGCCAAGCACTCATTACCCAGGCAGGAGCAAGAGCTGGAGCTCAGTAAGTAGGGTGCACATCAAATGGGTGAGCACACTGCTGAGGAGTGTTAGGATGAGCAGGGGGACAGTCAGACTCTAATTTCCTGAAGTACGGCATTGTGCAGACAGGACCTTAGGCAGAGCCCACTCATCCCCTGTCTCTGTCTGCAGGAAGGACAGCTGAAATGGTACTAAAATCCCTATATCCAAGATGTCAGGTGGGGCAGACTAGGTACCATTGCCACCCTGCTAAGCAGGGACCTCACAGCTTCACTTTTGTCATCCTTGTGGATCTGGGGACATAAGGGGTGGCCTGGGTTATCCAAAGACTATTAAGAAACATCTGTGCTTACTCGGGGACAGTGCCTGGCAGGTAGATGGGTAGAAGTTTCTACTGCATGATCAAATGTGTGCAATAGTGAATTAATGATAATTTTCAGTGGGTTGTGCAGTGTATTGGCTACCAGCTCAGGACTGGGTGAGTGATGCCCTTAGACACCAATAGCAGGCTCCTTTCTGCCAGAATTGCATTGGGCCAAGGCTGAGGCTCAGGTGAGGATCACACATAGTACTTCGGGTGCCAGGTCCTACAAGTTTGTAAAGGTTGAGTGAAAAGAGCCCTGTGATAAGGCAGTCCATGTGTGTGACTCAGTTGTACTTTATCTGGCTTTGCAGCCATTTAGAACTTTGTATATCATGGTTGTAAAAATGTTAGACAATGTAGAAATTACATACAGCCATCATAAAACCTCTGGGGTTTCCCTGATGGTGAGGAAGGGACTCTTTATACATGTATATGCTAGCTTTTCATGGTGATGTCATAAGCAAAGGGGGAAAGATACTTTTTGGCTCATGGAGAATATCTGGTGCACAGTGGGCTGTTTCTGTGGCCATGAGCCTAAGGTAAGCCTAATAGTATGGTAGAAGGGCCAGACTGGCAAAGCTTCTCACCAGTTGGTGACCAGGAAGCAGGAAAACAGGAGGGGCCAAGAAGACACCCTCCAGTGTCCTACTTGCTCTCTTCAGGCCTCATTTCCCAATAATAGCATCATCTTATGACCTCATCAGTGGTAGATGAGGTCATTGACTGGCCCAGCTCTCTCACGACCTTGTCATCTGTGTGGACCAGGATTTCCATACATGGAAACCATAGCAGTGTGACTGTAAACATGCCTCCCCATTTGTACTTGGAGATTGCTACTGAGGGGTTTTTCAGAGAAAGACTCACTCCCCAGCTACACATCTGTAGGATGCACTGTCACATTCTTGTCCTTGTCTCACGAGTAGATGGCAAATTGCAGCTCTTGGAGGCACCTTTCCAAGCCCCTGACAGTGAGCGCAGTTCTTTTGGATGTGTTTATGGCAGTGGGAGCCCTGACTGGCTGCTTAGGAAGAAACCTTCATGTGTCTTCATGGCTCCTGTCACAGATGTAGCCAGCTCCTTTGCAGTTCTTCTCAGTGTAGTAGTTAGGTCCCGGATGTCTGTGCCTGTTCACTGTGAAAGTGTCTGCTCTTTGGAGTCCTGCTTGGACTTATAGATGACAAACAGATGCTTCCTTTCAGCTTTGTGATTTAAACAACAAAAAAAGTGCTGGCTGTTCTGCTACTGGGACTAGGCAGGAGCCATATCAACACATTGCTCCAAATGACCAGGAGTTGTGGTCATAGTCCTGGCCTTGGTGTGGTATCTGTTCCCAAGTCAACTAGCTGTACACTGACGCTACTCTGAGCTGGTTACCAGGCCGCCTTGGTGTGTCTGTGTTGGTGGAGGCAAGTCTGCCTGCCCAGTCTGTCCTTTTCAGTGTACCAAGCAGGGCCACCTGACAGGGCAGGTTCTGGGTGGGTTTGGGGTCTCCAGAAGAGTCCTTCTCCTCACCCAGCTCATGAAGGTTCTTGGTTCTTAGGTCTTGGGGGATTGTTGGTTGGGGCTTGTGCTGCCCCTCTGCTTCTGGGATCTCCACAGATAACTTGAATTTGGGACTCTTGGGAGAGTACTTGAATATCCACCCATCCTGGGAGGACATGGCAGTCATTAAGATCAAGAACATGATGGTTACGGAACAGGGCCTGGCACTGGACACCATTTGCCATTTCCTAGAGGAGCACAGCCAGGTAGGATCAGAGAGACTAATGCTCCCCACTGGGTGGGAGATTCATGGGGCCTGGGAAGAAGTCAAGGCCCCCTCCAGGACCTGTCCCAAGCCATCACATTGAACTCATCAACCAACCTAGACTCCCATGGGTTTTGGCCATCCCTGAAGCTCCTAACCCTCTATGGATAGGTGCTGGAGGATTTCAGGGAGTTGGACTGGATGCCTTACTTTCCACCTACTGGTTCCCACAGAGTCCACCCAAGGTCTCCTTCTACCAGGGATGGCCAATGTACTCCCAGGCCCATGACTGCTCTGAACACCTTTATGGCAAGGTGCTTCAGGCCTGTCTATCTGGAAGTTCCCTGTCCTATAATGCCATCTTGAAGGCCAGAGATGACACCAGGAGGCAGAGGCAGGCAGATCTTTCTGAGTTCGAGGCCAGGCTGGACCAGGACAGCCAGGGATACACAGAGATACCTTGACATGAAACAAAACAAAACAAAAATTTATGCACTTTAATCTTTATGTCCAATCTCCCACATCTGCTGCCCACTCCTCTGGGCCAATCAAAGTGACACATTCTTTGAGGGCTGCAGCAGGCCTGTGTGCTTACAGAGAGAGGCTACCCAAGCACTCACAGCTGGGCATGGGGACTGAGAACCTAAGGTAAAGTGGGGAAGGGCAACCATTTGTTCAGAACAGGATGGGCAAAGGCCCAAGGAACCAACAATAAGCAGGCAGCATGCCCAAATGCCCACGGGATTGACTGTATCTACTAGAAATGTCAGCCTCTGTCCCAAGGATCACGGGGCACTATAGCAGAGGTGAACACAGCCAGATTTACTTAGGATTGAGGCTGTACATCCTGAAGGGACTTTCCTTTCCTTTTTTTCACTGATCTGAGAACAAGCTGCCCTCCACCCACTCAGGGTCCTGGGAGGGCTAAAACTGTCCTGTTGGCTCTAGAATCTGTCTTGCCGTGGTGGTTGGGTAGGGACAGGCAGGGCCTGAGTAACAGTCTGCCCACAGCTCTGGGAAAAGCAGGTGCCACACAGGGATTCCTCTGTGCAGAAGCTCCTAAAGTTCCTCAGCCTGGACCCCACGCAGGCTACCGATAAGGTCAGTACCCCACAGGAAATGCTTCAGGAGGGCGACCTCCCATGCATTGTCCCACACAGTGGGAGGAGAAAGGGCTCCCTCTTGGGGAAGGTCACTGTATGTGTGACCACACAGTCCTGCCATGCTAAGATGGGTGGATTTCTGAACAGCATTAGCCTACTCTCCACCCTGTCCTGCCCCAGGCCTTCCTCTTCCACCTCTATGGGCTGTTCCTGCGTGAGTGTCCCAATGTGGAGCAGGTTCAGTGGCACCTGGCCAGCCTCTTGGAGCTGTCCCACCAGCACTCCAGCCAGCGGGAGGTGGGTCAGAGTCCTCAGGCTATTGCCTTTTGCCTCCCTATCAGTTCCCAATCCTCATGCCCCATTCGACATCACTGTGGTCTCATGTGGCTCTCAGTGCATGAGACACTGCCAGCTTGTCACCAGCCTGGTCCCTGGGAGGCAGCCCTGGTGGAAGGACAGGTCCCAGAGAGCTGGACAATGACCTGCCCTGTCACTTGTGGGCTGCCTCACAGGGTCCTCTGGTACGCAGGGCATTGCACTGGCTGTGGGCCTGGCCTCCACCAAACACTTGGAGGCGGTATGGGCTCTGCTGGAGCACCTGGGCCGCACCAAGTTCCTGCGTTCAGTCACCGTGTCCCCAGACAGCCAGGTATGGTGGCACCGAGTACTAGAGCATGTTGACTAGGGCAGCATTGGATAGAGAGAGCGCCAGCCTCCACATGCCCATTGATGACACAGGGGACCCTGCCTGACCCATTTTTCTTAGGGGCTGGTATGGGGGACACAGGATAGATGAAGTACTTCGTAGAGTCCCCTCCCCAGTACCCCAGGAATGGAGACAAGTGAGCACAGGATTTGGGGCCAGGGAACCTCTAGGACTTTGAGAGCTATGCCAGGCTCAGGTCTCAAGTTCTCACTTGCCCTGATCCCAGTAGATAAACGAGCAGCTCTGCTTTCCTGGCCAGTTCTAACCCCAGAAAGAGTCTACAAGAGAACCTCGAAGAGAAGGCTTGCCTGGGGAACCAGCTAACGGGGCTTCCTAGATAGGAGGGCTAGTGGTAGCCCTAGGCCTGGCCCTGTGGAGGAGGGGTATTGCTGGTCTCTACTCTCATTACAGAGGCTACAACTTTCTCATTGGCAGGAGGGAGGTGGGGGCTGGGAGGGCTGAGATCCCGGAGCCCTTGAGCCTAGCTCTCACCTGTCCACAGCCATCAGACAACAACCTTCGATGGAAATGGGTCAGCAGCACCTCTCTGCTGTGCTATGGGCAGATAGCCAAGAATACCAAGGAGCAGATCCTGCCCTGGGTGGACAACATCGCCTCGAGAATGGTGTACTACTTCTCCTGTGGCCCCTGTGTGAGGCCCTCCCCACCTCTCCATAGAAGGATAGGGCAGTCACTGAAGCAGTACTCACAGGACATCCCTGAGGGGTCTAAGGAACCAAGCCCACTGAGGGTCTGCTCTCTGTGCTCCTGGGTCCAGTGTTCTGTCTACAGGTGGCTGAATAAGGCTGTCAGTCCAAGGTAGTGAGGCTGGCCTAGGGAAAAGGGAACCCTGTATTCAGTTTCCTTGATTGGCAGAGACATTGTATGTACAAGTGTGTGTCCTGTGACTCTGTGTCCTGTGTGTATGAGGTGTGTGTGTGTGTGTGTGTGTGTGTGTGTGTGTGTGTGTTGTATGTGAGATACACACTCTGCTGGTCCCCTGAGCAAGGTGGCTGTTTGGGTTATGCAACAGGATTTGACCTTTGGCCCATCTGTGGGGGACAGGATGAGATCCTGAAGTCAAGCTTCCTGTCTGCCACCATCCTGCTCACTAGATCCCTGCGGGAAGAGTATGGCTCCCAGAAGTACAAGTTCACTCAGATACCAGAGCTCATCCAGTGTCTCCTGGTAAGTGACATGCAGTCCACAGTGGGTGCTCTCTGTCCACAGTGGGTGCTGGCCAGAGACTGTCACCCTTGCCCCTCCTCTGCCCTCCAGGGCATCCTCCAGAAGGAGCCCAACTTCTTGAACACCTACTTACGGCAGAAAGTCATCCTGGTCATCGTGGGCCTGAGGTAAATCTCCTGGGGCACAGGAAGGAAGACAGGGAAGGTCCTGTGTTTGTGGTGGCAGTCTGTGTGTGAGGAAGGGGCTGGGGCCTGAGGGGACACCAGAACATTGGATGTGCTATTCGCCTAAGAGATTACGCTTTCTTTTTCATGGCCAAGATCGATTGTTAGTGCTGGCAAAAGCTAAGGCCTGTCCACAGTCACACACTGGACCACAGTCCTGAGCGTAGACTGGGCCCTAACCTAGTTATACATGAAGCCTAGCTTTTCTCCCTCGGGCCCTGATCTCACTCTATGTTCTGACCTGACCTATTCATAGCTTTGACTCTGACCCTGGAAATTGTCTAGGTTTCCCTCAGCTCACCACAGCCCCTATTGTGTTGGCCCTTCTCATTCCTCTGAGCCAAGAAGACAATGTCTACTTTCATATTCTAATTGTGCTGGTGTGTCCTTGCAGGAGCCCCTTGGGCCAGCCTTGCTCCCCAGCCCATCACTTTGTTCTCTTGCAGTAACCTGCGGCCCAGACTCAAACCCCTGCTCAAGTCCCAGGTCCTGCAGACTTGCCTGCACAGTGTGTATAAGCTTCCCTCTACTGAAGCCTTGAGAAGTGGCTCACCTTCGTTGGAACCAGCCCCAGATGTCACGGTGATGCCCTAGGCTTGGCATGTCTCTCTTCCAGGGATGTGGGTTCCTAGTGCTAGGTCAGGGGTTGGCCTCATTTGGTAATTGGCAGAAACAGGAGCTCTGTCTGGGTTTAGATCCATCTCTCCTGGAGCACAGTCTCCCTTCATCCTTAGAAAGCCCAGGACCTTCAGGGTTTTCTACGTAAAGGAGACGCTGGTCTCAGTGCTTCTCTGGTAGCGTTCTCTGAAGTGTGCCTTTTATACCTCATATTCACTGACTGTAAGTGAGCTGACAAATGTCCTCAAAGGGCTGGGATGCATCCTGGTCCTTGGCTTTGCAGGCCTACCCTGCTATCTCAGGCTGTCTTGCCCCAGACCCAGTTTCCTGGAGAGTTGAAACGGGGACAAGGCTGGATGTCACTCATATGTCTCTGATCACTCTTGCTGGCACACAGCTAGGCCATACCCCATTCCAAGACCTATGTATGTATGGAGGCCATATCCAAAGGCGGCCAAGCCAGATCTGTCCACAGGAAGTTAAAGGGAGATACAGTTTGCTGGGAGGAGGCCAGCTTAGGAAAGAAGCCACCTGCTGGCATGGCTCTGAGGGTAGCTAAGTTCTGTTCAGCAGAAAAAGCAAGGCAAGAATAAAGCCTCTCAAGTTTTGTTTCCTGGCCCTGGAAACAAACCAGGTTAGCCAGAGAGGACAGGTGGACACAGGGAGCTGGACTGTGGTCTTGTGCTAGGCTCCCAGAGCACACATGAGGCATTGCTTTGTGGATGGCCTAGAACCATACTAGGAGAGCCCAGGGAACTGAGGAAGACAGAGAGTCCCAGGGAAAGCTTACCTCCACATGGTCAAAAGGGAGGCAGCAGCCATTCCTATGTGTAGTTTACTGGGGCCATCTGCCACTGCACCAATTGATTTCCTGTAGTTGGCTATAGTTTTGATTCATTGTCACCTTTATGCTGACCACTGGGAGGAGTATTTTGTCATGCGCTCAACTTTGGTGAAATGTCTGTTCAGCTCTCACATCTAACTTTGAAATGGACTACTATGTAGGTTTTTAAAAACTACTTTTTGTGTTTGTGTGTATGTGCGTGTGTGTCTATGTTTATGTGTCTCTGTGTGAGTTTGGGTGTGTCTCTGTGTGTGCTTGTGTCTGTGTCTATAGTGTATGTGGTGTGTATGTGCCTGTGCACATGCATGTGTGCCTGTGTGTGTGTGTGTGTATCTGTGTGAGCCTGTGTATATGTGTCTGTGTGTATGTGTCTGTATGTGTGTCTATGTGAGCCTCTGTGTATGTTTCTGCCTATGTGTCTCGGTGCGTCTGTGTGAGCCTGTGTTTATGTGTGTGTGTGTGTCTGTGTCTCTTTGTGTGTATGTGTGTCTCTGTGTGTCTGTGTATATGTGTCTCTCTGTGTGTGTCTCTGTTTGAGCCGGTGTGTATGTGTTTCTCTCTGTGTGTGTGTCTGTATGAGCTTCTGTGTGTGTCTATGTGTGTCTTTATGAATCTGTGTGAATGTGTCTATGTGTGTGTGTGTGTGTGTGTGTGTGTGTGTGTGTGTGTGTCTGTCTGTCTGTCTGTCTGTCTGTCTGTCTGTGTGTACTGTGTGTACTGTGGTGCACATGTGGAGATCAGAGGAGAACTTGTGGAAATTATTACTCTCCTTCCACCATGTTGGTCCTAGGGATTGAACTCAGGTCTCCAGGTTTGACAGCAAGGGCCTTTACTCCCCTGAGCCATCTTGCCAGTCCTACTGTGCAGTTTTTAAAACTCCTCTTACATAATGGATGTAAGCCTATAGTCTGCACTTGAAAATCTTTTCTCTGAGTTGGGACATTTTTGAATTCTCTGGGTTGTGGCTTCTAAAGAAATTGCTACTGGACAGAAAACTCCTACTGATATTTGTTTACATAGTCTGTGCTGTGTGCATGATGTCTAGGAAGTTTGCTTGGCTCCGGGGCCACAAAGATTGTCTGGGTTTTCTAATGGAAGTTTTGCATTTTGTGGGTTCAGCTTTATATTTTGTGGCTGCAGCTGAAAGGAAGCACCCTAGCTGGAAAGAGCAGAACAGTACTACCCACAGCTCTGGAGGCTGTAAGGACAAGGTTTGAATGTCAGACATCCCCCACAAGCCCATGTGTCTGAATACTGAGTCTCCAGCTGGTGGCATTGCTTTTGGGGGGCCTAGATGGAGAAAGTGGGTCACTGTGGTGAGTCTGTCCCTGCTTTCAACCTGAACAATCTCTTTTCTCTGAGCCATGTGAGAAGGTGTGCTGCAAGCTCCTTCCACCACAGCCCAAGCAGCTAGGGTCATCATGCCTTCCCATAGCTATATACTGTATGGGCTGAGCTATGAGCCCAAACAAATCTTGAAGTTGCTTATGTTGGGTATTTGGGTACTCTAACAAAGTAAATGTTGCTGTTGCTCATCAGTAGCAGTGAGGCCTGGGAGAGAGACAGCCCTGTGCTGCTGCCTTCAGAGACCTGAGGAATTCCTTGCATAGACACGTACTCAGGGAAAACCAAGATTTATGACTTTGTGCAGAAAAGAATTTCAAGTGCAGTTTGAAGCAGAGTTGGATTTTATTAGGAAGAGAGTTTAACATAGACTTAGCACGGTGTTGATAGAAATAGAGGCACTCAAAGAAAGGATAAGACACACCCAAGTGGGAAAAAGTCAGGCTCAAATATCCTAGCTATGGGCACACAAATGACACTCGTGGCTTTCAAGCTCCATCTCAAAGGGTAAATAAGATTCTGAGGTGCTTCTGGAAGTGGGTAGGACTGCAGTCTGATAGGGTGAGATCATGGTTGCTAGGGCCCAAGCTGTATCTTTCACTTAAATGGAGTCTCCTATCTTGCTTCTGAGATTCCTAGAAAATTATATGTTTACATTTGGGAAAGGAGTAAGGCATCCTCAGATCTGCTCAGCCTTAAGTGTGATCATTGCTATTTTAGTATCTTTATTTGAAATATCTCCATGTAAGAGTATCACCTCCATGTGAGAAGCTTTCCCAGTGGATGGTGTTAGCTGTGCTGGGATTCTTGATTCCTTTCAGAGATGTGCTTGGGCCTTCCAGATGTGTTTATGTTTATATTTTCTGGTTTTATTTCCATTTTGGAACCATTCTTCACTTTGAGACAAGATTATGATCTAAAGATTCTTTTAATCTAGAACCATTTCCTTTGTCTTTTAATCTTTATCAAAAATATGAAAAAAAAAGCCAGTTGGTGATGGCACACCCCTTTAATCCCAGCACTCAGGAGGTGAAGGCAGACAGCTCTGAGTTCAAGGCCAGCCTGGTCTACAGAATGAGTTTCAGGACAGCCAGGGCTACACAGTGAGACCCTATCTCAAAAAAAAAAAAACCAATAAACAAACAAGTGTTTCATTTGTATCTGCTATGTTTTCAATGATTGAAACATTAGCCAAAAGTCCCTCTTGGGAAAACAGCAGGTCAGCGGGAAAGAGTAGAGCAGCAGGCATTGTCAGTGGCTGCAGAAGAGGCCATGAGCAGAGCTGGAGGGGGCATTCCTGAGCAGCTAAAGGGACTTGTATGCTCGCACCAGCGTTCCTCTGTGAAAAGTCTGGAGGCTGGTCTCACTATCCCAGCCATCACAAATGACATGGTTAGTCTCACCTGCCAGAGTTGGGCCCTGGGAAGCAAACACATCTGCACCCTTATGGAGGAGCTGGGGAGACCATGAGGTGACCTGGCTGTGTGATGCCAGCTGTCCCTGTCCCTTGCCAGGTGCTGTACAAGAAGACAATTCGTGCCCTGGACCTGCTCCTTCATAACTTCATCTCTGAAAACCCAAGCATGGATGAGATCTGCTTTCTCCTGCAGGTAAGGCCTGTGAACCTGCAGAGTAGAAATTCCAGCCCCAGCCTGAACTACTAGAGAGAGGGTGAGTGTGTGTGTGTGTGTGTGTGTGTGTGTGTGTGTGCGCCTGCCTTCCTGCCTGCATATTAGGTAAGGACTGAAAGAGGCCCTTATACACAGACCTTCAACACTCTAGGTAAGTGCTCTAACGCTAAGCCATACCCCCAAGCCTTTATGAGAAGTGGAGGGAGACTGGATGACACGGGCACATGTGTTTCCTGTTTCTATGATGTGGTGCCTCTTAATACCCAAGGACTGTCAATAAGAAGGTTAATCACCACTCTAAGACCTCCAGAGCTATGCACCACCATAGTCTGCTTTGGGTACTTTATTATAGTAATGAAAGATGGACAGACATACTTTATAGTGGGTTGGACTTAAACATGGAGCCAGTTCTATTTGGGGCCGGGAACTGGCTCCAGAATCAGGAAACTCTTGAGAGTCCTTAACCTATGGGATCTGATGCAGCTTCCAGGTAGACAGCATTGAAGTTTAGTTGAGTTGAAGGATACCCACTGGTGTCTATCATAGGATTGTTTGGCTGGTGTTAGAAGAATCATACTGGCTGTGTAAGAATAAGAAGGTCACTTGGGTTGTCCCTATGTCTCAGATGGCCCAAAGCTGTAAGGCACCCCAGAGCTGAAGGAGTGGATTGATGGACAGGCACTTTTAAGAGGCCAGTGATCTAGATGGGTAGCTGTCGTCCTTATCGGTGGCCAGACTCTGGCTGATCTTGAGCTGGGTGTGATGGGGGTCTGTGGGCATAGGTTCTCATGCTCTCCTCTACTCCTCCCAGCACACAGAGACCTGGTTGAATTCTGACCAGAGGCATGAGCGCTGTAGGGCAGTGCAGTCCATCTTCCTGCTGCTGCAGTATGTGGTGGACTCTTTGAAGCTCGCTGTGAGTTCCCTACACCCTAAAGCCTTGGGGATTATCTGATGGGGGTAAGAGAGGTTAGCATCCGGGAGCATGGTGGAGTCTTGCCATAGGCTGGGGACTGTGGCTACAACTTAGAAAGGACAACCTGAGGAAATCCCTAAGCCAAGACCACAACCAACAGAGAGCAGAGACTGAAGCAGTGTGGAAGAGTAGGGGCCCTGAAAGAATCAGCCAACTGTTTACTGTCTTCCAACACTCACCAACTTAGAGCTACATGCAAGGCCACTTGCTCACTGATAGTCCCAGACTGAGAGAAACTATGTGACTTGTGTTATGAGTATGGGCTGGGCCCTAAAAAAATAACCTGTAATTGTCCAGAGTCTGACTGAGAGAGAAGCAGGGGCAGAAGGCCGAGAGGGAGAGCAGAGGAGAGGCAAGAGAGAGGGGTGTGAGGCAGAGAGTGGTGGGGCAGCAGAGGCAGAGGGCAGAGACATGCAAGGGAAGACTGCTATGGGAGAGAGAAGTGTGAGAGCTGAAGAAGCAGGAGAGAATGAATGAATGAATGAATGAATGAATGTAAAAAAGGTATGTATGTGTGAGTGAGTATGAGAGAGAGCTGTGCAAAAGAGATGCTGCCACAGAGAAGCTGTGCCTAGAAACTGTCTAAAGTGCTGTGCACGGTGAGGGTCTGTATAATGAGATGTTAGCTATGGCTGTGTGGAGATCTGTAAGTGAATATAAAAATATGTAACTGGGCAAGAGAGAGATGTTTGTATATAAAGAGAAAGAGAGTCTGGAAAGAGAGTCCATTTAAGTTGAAGTAAAAGAGAAGGTCACCATCAGGAAAGTGTGTGCTTGCTTATTTTCTCCTCAGTTAGAAAAGTCTAGTAACCCTCAGATAAGAATCTTTCCCTCTACCCTGAGGTTTTCTCTTTATTACCCTGGAGTGGATCTGGGGAGGCTAGACCCCCAAGTCAGTGACATAACTGGTCATAAAAAAAATGTAAATAAAACCATGATGAGGTACCGCCATCCACCTACTGGAAGGGTAAAATTAACAGCAAGTGTTGGCCAAGGTATGGAGTCCCGGAAATGTCTCACATAGCTGCTGGGAGTGTAGGATGTTAAAACTGCCTAGCAGAACTTCTGGCAGTTTCTTTGAAAGAATACCTATATGGTTTTGTTCATACTGGAGCCAACCTGGGAGCCCTGCAGAGATGTCATCAATAAGAGCAGGCAAACAACATGTGGCAACATCCATTCAGCCATTCACACATCAACCATAGGTGTGAACCACAAGGATAGAGCAGAGAAGAGGAACCTTGAGGAGAGCGATTGCCTTGGCAGGCAGGACTGGCTGTGAGGCCCCAGGAAACACAATGGAGAGTGTGTTCTCACAGGCACAGGGAGAATGGGGAGGGTGCATTTCATGGTGTGTTGGAGTGTGGAAATTAATGGAGGTGTTGGGAGGTGAGTCCTGCCAGAGGAAATTATGGTTTTATCTTAAAACTGAACTCTCTCAGGAGTCGGTTAGCCCTTGAGAGACTGGATGTCTCCTCTGGCATCCACACACTGTTGTGACATGCACCCCTGCCCAGTGTCATCCAACACAAAGCGATGCAGTGAGAGGCCCTCCCCAGAAGCCACTACCTGAGGCTGAGCTTCCTAGTGTCAAGAACTGTGAGCTAAACAAACTTGATTATCAATCACCCAGCCTCAGCTGCACACAGCAGCAGAAAGAGGAAACAGACACAAGAATCTATTGAAATTTTCAAAGCGATTGAATTTTGCACTTAATATTTGTAACTTCTCTGTAACTGAAATCTTAAATAAAAATTACCATAAAACTGATAGCAATTCTGTGGTTTGGTTTTTGCAGTAATATTGGTTTGAAATTTGATTCTGTGGAGTATTCTAAATAAAATTTTTCAGAAACAAATGACAGAAATGGAGGGTCTGGAAGCAGGAAGTCTCCTGCAAATGGACCAGGATTTCCATCAGAGAGAAACAGAGCGTGGCTCTGTACTAGAGCTGCGGCTGGTGAACATGTGATTCTCTTAATACAAGTGGGTGTAGATATGTATTTCAGCATTCATCGAGCTCTGTATGGTGCGGTTGTAAGGTTTGTGTATCGAGGTGTATGCATGTGAGGTATGCACATGAGGTATGTTGTAAATGTAATGTATGTATGTTATATGTGTGTCGCGTGTGTGAGCAGTGTTATGCATGTGAGAAATATTGTGTGTTTAAAGAATGTGTGTGTGTATAGTGTTGTGTGAGTGAGGAGTGCTCTATGTGTGTTTAGTGTTATGTGTGTGAGGAGTGCTGTGTGTGTGTGTGTGTGTGTGTGTGTGTGTGTGTGTGTGTTTGTATGCAGTGTTGTGTGAGAGGAGTGCTCTGTGTGTGTGTAGTGTTGTGTGTGTAAGGAGTTCTCTCTGTGTTTAGTGTTGTGTGAGTGACAAATGCTGTGTGTGTGTGTTTAGTGTTGTGTGTGTGTGTTTGTATGCATTGTTGTGTAAGGAGTTCTCTCTGTGTTTAGTGTTGTGTGAGTGAGGAGTGCTGTGTGTGTTTAGTGTTATGTGTGTGACTGTGTGTGTAGTGTTGTGTGAGGAGTTCTCTCTCTCTCTCTCTCTCTCTCTCTCTCTCTCTCTCTCTCTGTAGTGTTATAGATATGGTAGGAGTATTGTATATGTGAAGAATGTTTTGTGTGAGTGTTGGAAATGTGAGGAGTGCTGTGTGTGTGTTTAGTGTTGTATGTGAAGTATGACTGTATTAGGACAGCCGATGGAGTCTGGATACGGACTGAGGATTAGATAACGGTATTGATGTTGAATAACATTTTTGTGACAGTGACTGTTGCACTGTGCATTTGTGAATAAATGTCCTCATTCTTATGAAATAGACAATGGAGTGTTTGAGATCAAATGTCTTGTGTCTCCAGTCAGAAGAAGGGAGAAGGCCAAAGGGAACCAAACAGAGCAGAGTGTAACTAAGAGGAAACAGTGGCTAAAGGACACAGGAATTCTGATCTATTCTTCCATATGCTTGAAGTTAAAGCTACAACATTGAAAATAAAATGGCTGTGAGAGTCCTCACAGAGCAGTTAGACCTAAGCAAGGTTTGAGATGGATGAAGGCGTCACTGGAAAGTTTGTGAGTTGGGTCTTGCAAAGTTGGCTTTGGGGTTCCAGGCTGGGGTTGGCAGGAGCAGTGGCACCTGTCACCAACTGAAGTGTCTTGTGAGTCTGCACTGAGGTGTGCTTCCAGGTGAGGTGGGCTGGCTAGGTGGGTGGATGGCTGCTACACACTCAGGCCACCGTGCTGGTCTGGGTGTCAGGATCTGGTAGGGAGCTGAGAGGCTCAGCCTGGAGACTTCAGAAAAAGCATCCGACATGGGCTTCACAGAGCAATGGATTCGTGAATGATACAAAAGGTTCTAAGCTGACAGCAAATGAGCAGGGTGTTCGGGGCTGTCTTCCTGCAAGCCTGGAGCAGAAGCCTCACTTTGAGAGGACAGCAGTATGGCCCATGCAGGAAGAAAGAGCCTCTGCAGATCGGGACACCCAAACTCTTGTCATCAGGCTGCTTTCCAGCCCCACAGACTCATCGCCAGTATAGAGCAGCTCAGCCGGTGGAGGAGGAGAGGGCATTTGTTCAGGTTCAACCTCCATGGGCACAGGAGAATCACCAAAGTCAAGCTGTAACCATGTGCTCGCTCCTCCAGATCTCAGAGGATTCCTCCATGGGCACAGGAGAATCACCAAAGTCAAGCTGTAACCATGTGCTCCTCCAGATCTCAGAGGATGGACATTGAGTGGAGACTGCGAATGTCCTCCCTATCATCCCCCTGAGGATTGCAGGAGGCCTCCATCAATATTCTTCTGTACCGATTTGCATATGGTAAAAGGAGCTGATGAAATGGTACACAGTGTGCGGCTGTGTTCAGGAATTTAAAGGGATACACAACTAAAGGGAAAAATGTGATACTAAGAGCTACGGGGTAAATGTGGTGACCACAAGAGTTGGAAGGACATTTTAGAACTGCAAACAAAACAGATCTGCATGAAAAGGCACTGGGTCCATTAACCAGCAGTTCAGCCACCACAGAAGAAATCAGAATTGGATCCAGGACAAAGGAACCTACTGAGACCAAAGAGCAAAGAAGGCCCCGAGGAAAAGAATGAAAGCCCAGTGGGCGTGGAACAACGTGGTGTGGAAGCAGACTGACTCCCAGGAGAAGTGAGACAATCAGGGCAGAGTGGGTGGCACCACGATGGTGGAAAAAAACACACACCTAAAGATGAGAATGTCAAGGAATCTCAAGCAGGACACGCACAAAGGAAAACACAGGCGAACACACCACAGCCCAAATTCTTAAAGACCAGGCAAAGACAGGAAAACCTTAAAGCAGCCAAGAGAGATGATGCACTCACCAACATACATGCATTTACATGGGCGTACATATGTATACATATACAGGCATGCATGTACACACACAAGCACACGTGCATACACAGGCACACACACATTCACATAGTCATGCATGCATACACACACAGGCACACATAACATGCATATAACATTCAGGTACATATGCACACACACTGGCATGCCTGCATTCAGATGTACACACTAACACACACACACACACACACACACACACACACACACACGCACACAAGCATGCAGGTATATATGTACACACACTGACATGCCTGCATGCATATGTATACACAAGCATGCAGGCACATATACATATCGACAGGCACACCTACCCACACACATGCCTGAAGGGAGTGATAGGCATACCCAGCCTCTTACTGTTAAAAACAGAAATGCCTTTTCCCAGTGAGAAGACAGGTCAGAGAGGTGAAGTGTTCCCTTGGGTGGGACAGGAGCCCTTCTCAAACCCCAGCCAGTGTATCTCCTACAAGAAGCTGAGAACAGGAATGGAGGGAAGAAGTGACACAAGGAAGCTAGCCTGGCTTTGCTCACTGCTCCCCTCTTCCCAGAAAGAGGCCGTGCCATCCATGCTGGGCCACCAGATAGGCCTTCTGACTCTGCTGTGGCGGGATAAAGACGAGTCAACACAAGAGCATTCTCACCACTGTGTCTCCCTCCTCATGCAGCTTTTGTCCCAGCAGAAAGGTGAGTGGGGCAGGGTTGGAGAAGGGGAGGCTCAGAGTGGCTCAGGGCCAGCTCTATTCTGGCCTCGCTGTGAGCTGGGACAACAGTGTTGGAGGAAAGTGGCCACCTCCAGGCCCGGCAGCCCTCCTGAACACATCCATACACAGGGAAGTTGGTGGAGTCTACACAGTTGAGCAAGACGAGGCACCTTGAAGCCATCAAGTCTGGACATTTGGAGGGGAAGCTCTACCACATGGTGCAGGTGAGGTTGCTCAGGCTGGTCCCGGGCCTCTCATGGCCCCAGAGCACAGCGGTTATATGGTCTGTCCTCTGCATTCCCAGCCCTGAAGAGATGGGGCCAAAGGGTCCCTCCCAGGCAAGCAGGTTGGGCAGAAACAGGATGGGATGGATTTTTTGCTCTTTCCATGAAAATTATCTGTACCTCTCCTTCCAGCCTCAGCTTGGATAGAGCCTTTGAACCCATGGGTCAGAGGTTCTCGCTTGTGTACCTCCCTCTGGGGACAGGGGCAGCCAGCCTACCTTGCTCTCCTGGGACACTCTGTTCTTAGCACTGCCCCTCCAGAGGGAGGGGGTGCACTTCTTCTGACCTTTCATGACATACCCTTCCTATGTTCCTCTAAGGCCTGCCCTGCCTGTTACATAGGATAGAGAAGAGAGGGACAGGGTCTGTGTCCGAGCTCCATGACTGGTTGGGTGGGCCTCCCATCTTGCTGAGCCTCAGTTTTCTGACCTTCCAAGTGAGGGTTCAGCTTCTGAGATAGGCTGGGTCAGAGGCAGTGACACCTTCCAGTATCTCATGTCTTCTGAGTCATGGATGAGGCTGAGTCTGTTGTCCTAGTAGCCTCTCCTTAGAGACAGTAGATGGCAATTTTGGTCCCTTTGTTCTGGGGCAGTAGGAGAGGGAAGTAAGGCTATGGCTGGGCAAGAGTTAGTCATCATTCTGACCCAGCAGGAACTGGGTGCTGTGACTCTTTGCAAGGTTATTTGCTGCCATTGTCCTTAGGGAGTGTCTTCAGAGGCAGCTGTGCTGGGCACACTCCCAGCCACTCAGCCATGGACCCAGGGTGGAGGAACTACAGGTCATAGCAGCCTGAGACAAGGGCAGAATAGGCCCTTTGGGGTCCTGCAAGTCTGTGGTTCATAGCACTTACAAGACTGTGCACACAACCTTCATTCCCTAGATTGCTTCCTGGCCTGAGCCACTGCTGGCCAGAGGTTACCCCTACCCCCTCCCCAACTTTTGACTCTGTACAGGTTTTCAGGGACAACCTGACAGTGGCACAGCATACACAACTGATCCTCACATTGGTGCGCAACCTAGGCAGTTGTAACTACCTCCGCTCCGACCTTGCTGCCCAGCTTCTACTGATGATCTGTGAGGAGCATAGCTGCAGGAAGGAACAGGTTAGGTGGGTGGGTGTGGCTCCCTTCATGCTATGTGTCCCTGCCTATGTGATCATGAAACTATATACATCCATTCACCTGTACACAGAGACAATGAGCCTAAGAAGCCTATGAGAGGGATCCCAATGTACTTCCGGACAGCTGTCTTTGCCCAACAGATTCCTGGACCACCATCTGCTGCCTCATGGTGGCCTGGGGAAGAGGACAGATCTATCTGCCCTCCAATTCAGTTTGGCCAACTAAATTGAAGATTCACCCTTAGGGAATGCCAGGTCCCATCCACTTGTTGCCCTTACAGGTCAACCGCAGCCCCCCTCTTGCCTTGTTCGCCTCACCTTCCTTAAGACAGAGATGGAGCATGGGAGTTGAGCCACAAAGCTAAGTCCTACCAGGAACTCATAGGGTCTTGCCCTGTCTGAAGCTGCATTCCACCTTGCAGGTGGCTGAGATCTTGCAAGACCTGTTCCAGCAACTGCCAAAGATCCACTCTCTGAGTGTCCAGCAGACCATAAATAAGGTCACCAAGGCTCTGGGGATCCAGCATACTCAGGAGGTGGTGGAGGTGGTCTTGTCCCTATGTCATCCCTCAGATAGGTAGGTAGGTCTTCCCTTGGTCAGGCACCCCAATATGGGAGGGACATCATCCAGGCATGTGGTGGTCATCCAGCCTGGTCTTTAGTTACTTACTGAACACATTAGGCAGGAATAAGCTCTCAAGGATTCTGTCTTTTTCCTGACTCTGGACCTGTGGCCAGAGGGCCTCTGAAGGTGTTTGGGGATTAAACAAGGCTCCAGCAGTCTCAGGTCAGCATAGACACCATTTTAGATTCACAGTCACCAGAGGCCAATCTGTAAGTCTCTAGGCAGAGACCAGTCAGAGGCTATGAAATACTCAGTGACACCCTCCATTCATCCATAGGTGCCCTGTGGTCCAGAGCCCTGGTGGGTTCTGTTTCCAGCTACCACACTAGCTATCCCTGGGTCTTCTGTCTTGTCCCTATGTCATCCCTCAGATAGGTAGGTAGGTCTTCCCTTGGTCCAGGCACCCCAATATGGGAGGGACATCATCCAGGCATGTGGTGGCCATCCAGCCTGGTCCTTAGTTACTTACTGAACACATTAGGCAGGAATAAGCTCTCAAGGATTCTGTCTTTTTCCTGACTCTGGACCTGTGGCCAGAGGGCCTCTGAAGGTGTTTGGGGATTAAACAAGGCTCCAGCAGTCTCAGGTCAGCATAGACACCATTTTAGATTCACAGTCACCAGAGGCCAATCTGTAAGTCTCTAGGTAGAGACCAGTCAGAGGCTATGAAATACTCAGTGACACCCTCCATTCATCCATAGGTGCCCTGTGGTCCAGAGCCCTGGTGGGTTCTGTTTCCAGCTACCACACTAGCTATCCCTGGGTCTTCTGAGAGGCAGTGTGTTGACAATAAAGCCTTACTAATTCAGAGCATAGCTGTGGGCTGGCAAAAGCAGCATAGCCATAAGTCTGTCAGGACTTGTAAGCTTGTCAGTTTTTAAGTGGCCAGCCATATTCTGCATCTCATGAATATACATATAGTCGACCCTGAGGGAGGTGGCAAGGACGGTGGCTGATCTCAGAGCACACAGGGAGCCAAGAGAAACTGGGGATTCATGAGCTCTGCCTGGAGTGGCTCCTGGCTCTGCTGGCTCCCTCTTCTCTTCAGACCATATGAGGGGTTTGCTATTTGCTCAGGGTCCTGGAGAGAGGGGTTGCAAGGCTGGGGCTCATGCAGATGCCCAATGAAGCAGCACAGAACACGGACCTCAGGGCCCCTTGCCTGCTGCTCCCAAGTGGCTCATTTTCTCACATCCTGCTAACGGCCAGCATTTATGGGAGGCTTCTCTGCAGTGGTGTTCCCAGTGGTGGCCTAGATCCTGTCTCATCAGGTGGATCCTACTGTTGTGGAAGGCTCTGGCTACCAACTACCGTTTACCTCGTGATGTCATAACCCTGCTCTATGTAAAGTTAAAATTGAGGCCACCCAGGAGGCTCCTCCAGGCCACATATCGGGCCCGTCTGGTCTCCCTGACGGTGAGTAGCACCCTTTGCCTTGCCACCAGCATGGTCTTCTCACTGACAGTAGCAGTATCCAGGGCTTCAGTGGGATTCTCACGAGGACACTGTGCTGCCTCCAAGGGCCCCACCTTCAGGCCTTTATCATAGTTTGTGGTCATTTGTGAAGGTGGCCAATGTATTTCACCTGCTCATGAATCTCCCACCCTGCATGCATGGCCCCGCTGTGTGTCTGAGGTACCCACTGATGGACCGGCCACCTGGCTGAAGACCCCTGCTGCTATTAGCACTTGTTTCTCCATGGGGATGCCCCATCATAGACCATAACAGAACTAAAAATCCACGTGCTCTCAGCAAGTGGTTCCTAGACACAATGAGAAGTAGGAGAAAGTCTTGGCTGCCCTAACAAGACTCAGAGACACGGTGACCATGCACTGGGCCATGGTTGGCTGTGGGAACAAGAATAGTGGAGAGAGATGGAGGAGTGATGAGAAGGGTCTAGGGAAGGCAGAGGGATCCCTGAGCAGAAAGCAGGGCAGGGGTGGGGGTGAAGATTGCCAGCACTGGTAGGGAGTTGAGGCCAGCACCTGGACTTCTCCCAAGGTTTGGAAGGGCCTGACTTATCAGTGACCCATTTATTTCTGCCCCTTGAAATGAGACCTTTCAATTCATGGGAAGACCACATGGGGCCGTGGGTGTGGTACCCGAGGTCTGGCTAGGAGATGGTTTAGGGAAAAAGCCAGGGGACTCTATGGCGATACATAGCCCAACCCCAAAGAAACAGGGCTAGATGTGGCCAGCCACCAGAAACTCAGGGATAGGGACAAAAGACAATGGGACCAGGAGAGGTCTTCATCAAGGAGGATCTGATGGAGGATGGGCACTTGGAAGAGATCCGACTCATCAGAAGGTGGAGCCAAACCAGGAAAAGCACCATCAGCAGTGTGGAAGCCAGGCGTTCCTGGGGCCTGAACAAAGCCAGGAAGTCAGGGCCCAGCCCCAGAGACTGTAATGGATCCTGGTTTATCCTCAGGGATATACCACAGGGATCTTCAGAGATTTATCCAAGGGGTCTCCATGGTGAGCCCCAGCAGGCCAGATGAAGGCAGTGAGGCCTGGACTAAAGTGGCTTTGTAGCTGTTGTCCCCACTCTTGTACTCAGGGGTCCCCTCCAGGCTCTGCTGTCACCCACTGCAGGCACTGGGCACCATTTATGAGCTCCTCTACACCCCGGAGTACAGGGGCACGGTCCGCTGGGCTTTCGCAGGCATCCTTCTGGGCCTCCTCACAGAGCTCTACTACCTGCTGGAAGTGGGCCTGGTGCAGGGCATCTCAGACTACCAGGAAGACAATCTAGCCTCTAAGCCCCTCGAGCCCTGCAGGTGAGCCCAGCTGCCTGTTGTCCCCCTCCTTGTACCCACTGAACCATGCTGATTCTGGAGGACCCAAGAAGGAAAGGATTTTGGATGGAAGTGTGATAGGGGTGGGATAGATAGAGTATACAACCTGGCCAGTACAGAGACTCCTGAGCAAGGGGAGCCTGGTAGGTGGCAGCGGGTAGGTTTTAGGCACTTGTCTTGTTTCTCTCTGCCCAGGACCTGCCTAGAAGCACTCAAGGGCCTCTTTTGGACCAACCAGTACTGGGAAGTGTTTGCCGACATGAAGCTGATCCAGGGCTGGGAGCTCTTTGGGCATTTGGAAACCTTCCCAAAGGGAGTGACCCTTCTGGCCAGGTGAGCCCGCAGCGCAGACACCCTCTGCCTGGGAGGTTAGCAGTCCAGCCTCCCTGCTCTGGACCCTGCATCCCAAACCCAGCAATCTGGCCAGTGCTGAGGCCTGGCTGGAGGATGGAGCCCTCATGGACTTTGTGTGTGCCTCTTACATGTGATAGGGCCATGGTTCACTATGACTGTGAGGTCAAGGCTGTCTTGGGGCAGGCGCACATCTCCCTGAAGAGCACTGAGGAGCGAGACAACATCGTGGGCATCTGCATCATCACTGAGGTCAGCCTTTCCCCAGACTCCACAGTGGACGGAAGTCCCTTCCAGGTCTCTGACAAAAAAAAAAAAGTATACATCTAACTCATGTGTCAGGTGTGCTAGCTGTTGAAAGTGCTTCTTTAGGTCTAACTCATTACCATGGTAGGGGGTAGACCGATTCCTTGGCAGCTGTGGTTAACAGGTGGGCTGATGGTGCCGACCCCTGCCCAGTTTCTCAACAGCCCAGATGTCTCCCAGTATGTGTCTCTGAAGGCCATGGACAACTGCCTGAACATGGGCCTTTCCAACCACAACCAAACAGTGAGAGCTATGAGCCTGAAGGGGCTAGGCAGCACCCTGATTCATCCTAAGAAGGTGAGGGGCAGGAGCTTGAGAGAGATGCCCTCTGCCATCCCAGCAGAGTTATGGGGAGGGCTGAGTACAAAGGAAGTGTCCTGAAGGCTATGTCCTTGCAAGGAGTGGTAGAGAGCACCTGTCAGGCCTGGTTGGCCCTGCTGAATTGCTTCAGATGGGGCTCTAATGGACCCTTTGTCTCCTCTAGATAGGAGCCCCTCATATGATAACCTCCCTTTTGAGCCCCCCATAGCAGGGCTATTCTGACATGGCCCTCATGACAGTGCTGGAATGCAGCTGCAAATTTGGCCTGTGCCAGATACATGGTGTGGTTTTGTCTGTTTTTCTGTCCAACCTGTAGGGGAGTTGGAGAGTAGACCTGGGAACAGTCAGCTTCAGCACTCAGACCTCCTCCCTATGGGCACTGACTCAGACATGGGCAGATACTTAACCTTGTGAGAAGGCCAGGAGCCCCAGTACCTGCCTGGAGCTATGACCTGCCTCACTGGGGCAGCTGGCAAAACTGGTCAAATGTCCCACTGGAGGGTGGTGGTCTCCCTGCAGGTAACTGTGCTGAGAAGTAAGTTGATGGAGCTATTGGACAAGTTTGTACAGCCTGAGATCAAGGACCCAGTGGGCCTGATGGAGATCATGGGCCACCTCCTGCACCATCTGGGTGTCCAGGGCACTGGTACTGTCAGCTTCGATATTGCTCAGCACCTTCTCAACCTGTTCACAGATGTGAGTGGGGCAGGGGGTGGGGTGGGTGGCAGAAGAGGGCAGGGAAGTGTTGCAGACAACAATCAGAAGCCAGTATCACTTAGCATCTGCTACCTGTACCAAGCCCAGACTCCACTGAGATTACAGACCCTGTAGTCTAGTGGTAGTTGAAGTCTGTGATGGCACTGAGTCTTGTTCCCTGGACATCTGAACCAACAGTTCCATTTGAACATGAACTCCTATGGTAGAATAGGGCCAAGTTATTTCAGGGGATTGAGGTTGGGAATGAGGAAGGCTTGAACTTGGCATGGACAGTCCCAGGAAGACCACCACAACATGTCCCTGAGACGGATTAGAACCACCAGGGAGAAGGGCTGGAGAGATGGCTTAGCCATTAAAGGCTAGGCTCACAACCATAAATATAGAACCCCCAGGAAGACCACCACAACATGTCCCTGAGACGGATTAGAACCACCAGGCAGAAGGGCTGGAGAGATGGCTTATCCGTTAAAGGCTAGGCTCACAACCATAAATATAGAACTGGGGAGATGAGAGCTAGGATAAGACCCAACTGGGATAGGTAGGCAGCCAGTGGCCACAGTGCATCTGAAATCAAGGAGAAGGCAGTTTGGGGCAGAAGATGGCTCTGCTTTCATGGATAGGAGTTAGTAGAAGGAGCAATACTGGAGAATTAGCAGTCACCCCCTTAGATACTGGGTTCTGTACCCACCTCAACCCAAGGACAAAGGCACTGTTGTTAGACACTGTTTACAGAAGGTAAAACAGTGTAAGGAAGGATCCTCACCCAAGGTCATGGAGCTAGAATGTCACAGATTCAATAGTCAGGTCTGCCTAGGAGTGGAGGTATGATTGCTGTTACCCTAGGAATGTGCAGAGAAACCCAGAGGTGAGAAACCAGGAATAATGAATAAGTCAGAGAAGGCTGCCAGAGGACGAAGGGGATCGTGAGTGGAGCTGAGGAGATGGAGAACATGAGTAGGCCATGTGTCTTAGTTGGAGTTTGTATTGCTGTGAAGAGACACTATGACCACAGCAACTCTTATAAGGAAAACATTTAATTGAGGGGGCTCACTTATAGTTTCAGAGGCTCAGCCCTTTATCATAATGGTGGGGAGCATGATGGCATGTAGGGAGAGGTGGTGCTGGAGGAATAGCTGAGAGTCTACATTGTGCAGGCAACAGGAAGTTGACTGTCACACTGTTGGAAGCTTGAGCAAAAATGACCTCAAAGTCCACTCCCACAATGACACACTTCTTCCAATAAGGCCATACCTCTTAATAGTGCCATTCCTTTTGGGGACCATTTTCTTTCAAACCATCACACCATGGGACAGGAGACATCAACAGACTCGGGGTCTGAGTGGACACTGGCCTATGGGGCTAGGGACAACGTAGGTTGTCCCTGGGCTGAGCAAGGACAAAGTGAAGCAACCAGAAGTCATGGGAGAAGTCTGGCCTGTCTTGTGCCTGTGAATTCCATCTCTCCCAGGAAAGGGCAAAGGTACGAGAATATGCCATTTTCCTATTCGGAGATGTCATTCACTATGGTGGAAAGAAGTTACGGCAGAGCCTCAAGAGTCTGGCTTTCCAGGCTGCAGTGCCCCTGCTCTTCCATATGGCTGACCCCTGCCCAGAAGTGGCCATGGTGAGTGTGCTCCAGCTCAGCTGGGGCAGCTAGGAAAGCAAGACCAAAGGAGGACCCAGGCGGTGGACTTGGAGGGCTCAGCTCTCACAAGTGGAGACCAGAGTGAGGCGAGTGCTCTAGAGAGCCTATCTGGGCTCAGTTTGCATCTGTAGCCCAACCCAGTAGCCAGAGAAAAGAAGTGGGATCCATCCTGGTGGTATTTCCTCAGCTACCTGCATCAGACTTCTCCCTCCCATCCACCCCTCACTCCAGGCCCCTGTGCAGCCTCTTCTGGCTGAAGACCTCTACTTTGCCATCTAAAATCAGTTGCAAGAGTCTGGCATTCAGGATCTTTCTACCTCTTCTTCCCCTCCCCAGCCAGTGGTGTGACCATGGACTGCAATGAAACACCTACTTGTACCCTGCCTGCCTAGTGCCATGACCCTCCACCCCAGCCCCACCACTGGAGAGACCTTGTACAACTCTCCCTGGGGTGGCCCTGAAACACTTAGACATGCCACGAGGGCCTTGGGTTTTGGAGGCTATCCTCTAACTTAGCTTCTCCATGGAGCTAGTCTGGCATCTATTTACTACTCAAAGACCAAACTTGGCCTCTGCTGGCCTTGGAAACAAGCTGTCCCAGGCTTCTGAGAGTAAGGCCTCATGTCCAACAAACCTGGCCCAGGCCCATATCAACTGTGGGAAGTTAGATCTCTTCCCAAACTTAGAATAAGTCCCCACCCCTCTGAGGCTGGTATTCTGAGCTGGTTCCTCAGAAGGAAGCCTGGGCAGCCTTTCTGCAAAGTCTGTGTTAATTAGAGCAGGGCACCCTGGACTTGGGGAGTGGGTCACCCCTTCCTGTGGTGATACATTCCCTTCTAGTCCCCCTGCCTACTGCATGGCCCAGGTATCCAGAAGTCCAACAATGGTACTGCTACAGAAACTTGTCCTTGGGGTCTGTCTGGGATGAGGGGGTGGTGATGGGTGAAAGCAGAGGGAATCTGTTCTCCACTTACAGAAGGCCAAGTTCACCTTCCTGCGCTGTGCCATTTTGCTAAAATGGGAGTTCCGGAAGGAGCTGTTCGGCAAGCTGGCATGGGGCCAAGGGCTAGGCGCTGCAAATGACATTTTTGTCTATATGGTAAGGTGTGAGTACATTTCAGGGGGAGGTCTGGGGGCCAGAGAAGTGGTCAAGTCACCCCAGACTGCCTTGAGGGTGGGGTATGGGGATGGTGGAGGCAGTCCTGGGGTGTTTAAGTACTGAGGCTCTGTAGGGGAGCATTTTCCTTTCATAACTGGGCTGGGGTAATCTCTGAAATGGGCTGTCCAGGAAAACTTGACAGAGACTCCACCATGTGCCTACAGTGTACCCAAGGCCACTTTAGTGGGGCCTCTGAGGACAGAGTGCCCACTGACATTCCAGTACAGATTGAAGGCAGCTGAGCCCTATCCAGACATTTCAGGGCCTACCTGTGGGAAACCAGTAGTAAATGCCACCCCTTGCCACCCAGCAGTCACTTAAATCTTTGGCCCCAGGTTCTTCTGCTTTACTGGGTCTAGGCAGTCAGGGTGACACTCCCAGACTCTTAAACAGGATCAAAGTCACATGGGCAAGGCAGGACAGGTGTGTCTTCAGTCTTCAGACCTCACTGGATCCTGGTTCGGCCACTAGGCACAGGCCTAGAACTATAGCTGTGAAGATCTCAAAGTGATGTTTGGACAGGGTGGGGGCACTGAGCTCCTGGCCTGCTTACCCATCCCATGCAGTGGTACCACGTGCATCTTGATAACAGTAACAATAGAAGCATGGCCCTTGAGAGACCCAGGTTTGCAGCCTTCAGCTATTCGACCACGGTCCTGACTTTAAGTATCAGGTGCCATCAGGGTCCAAGGTTTAAAGAATAAAGCACAATAGGGAGGACAGGGAACAGGGCACTTAGGAATGGAGAGGCCATTGAAGGACACAGAGCAGGAGAGCCCATATATGATGCAGGCTCTTGTGCCATGTCTGCTATGCATGATAGCCACACCCCAAGGCAAGTGCCCAAAACCCCCAAGGCAACTTTGCTTCCTCAATAGCAGAGAAGCAGCAGGGGTACAGAAGTTGCCAGTGGTGAGCCTGCCTCTCCCTCTTCATGACATGGGCCTTGTAGGAGACCTTGGTGGCTTGGAGCTGTAGGACATTTGCTTTTGGTTTGTGGTGAGATGACAACCAGTCAGGGATGGGCAGAGGCATGCTGGATGGTCTCCAGAGTGATAACTGGCAAAGGCCACAAATATGGGTGCTCCCTGATCCTTGGCATGGGCTCCTGTCATTGGACCAAATGAAGGAACTGGACCATCACCACTGGCTACCCCTCTACATCTCCCATGGGACTCTGGTATCTTCCCTCCTCTCTTCCAGGCCCTAGGCAGTGGAAGAGGAGTTCAGTGCTGGGGGTGCCTCAGGAAAGCCTTGTCTCTAAAGTGAGGTGCCACACCAACCCTCAGTGTGGCCACAGGTCCTCTCTTCTCTCCTCAGATAGAAAGCAACCTTGGCAACTACCAACAGCTTCTCAGTCAGGCCTTGATGTATCTGGACAGCCCCCACAAGACCTTGAAGCTTGCAGCTATGAAGTTCATTGGTAGGTACTGGCTCAGCAGCCTCAACCCCACCCCTATGTCTCATCACCTGGGCTGCCACAGTGGATGGTCAGGTTCACATGTCCCGAGGGTCAGTGGCTCTATGTCAGTGAGGGGGGTGGGATGTTCCTGCTGGCTAGTGCTCTCAGTGGGCAAGGGTTGCCATTGCCACCGCCTCCTTGACTGCCCCAGGGGGACTGCTTCAGGACTACTTCAATGACCTCTGTTTCTACTTGACAAAGGACGATGTGATCATCCTAAAGAACTGTGAGTGAGTGGAGCCTCTGCACCCCCGGGGCAACTGAGGCCTGCCTTCCCAGACACTGAGGGAGCTTTCTGGTGAAGGATGCCTCTCCCGGTGGGGGTGGGGCCCACATTCCTCTCCTGACTGTGGGTACACCGGGCCCCTCAGCTCCACAAAAAGCTCCTGAATGGGACCTGTGGCCTCTCCTGCAGATCTGGAGGCCCTCAGCCATGACACAGACTCCAGGACCCGAAAGTTCTACCTGAACTACTGGGACGACGTTGTGGAGCTGTCCCACTACGTGATGCGCTGAGCCTGCACTCATCCTTATTTTTGTCTTTGTTGAGTTCTATCTTTATTAAATGCCACAGAGTTATCTCTGGCCTCTTCCCAGACATGAGTGCAACAGGCCAGGCTAGTGTTCCTCTTAAACTCATCTCCACAGGCTGTGGGGTGGGAAGGGAGCATGACTCAGAGCTCCAGAAGTTACTACAGTGTTCCACTAGGCAGCAAGAGCTGGAGACTTCAGAACAGGTGTTGTTGTACCCAAGCAAGAGCCTTAGAGCCCAGGATCCACCCTCAGCAGCCCCTCCCCCAACCCGTTTGTCCTCAACCAGGCCTTGGCTGTCCCAGGTGCCCACTTGACCCATTGCCTACCCTATTCATCTGCCTGTGTGTATCCATCCTGCCCTCAGGGAGGTCTTATGTGAACCTGCTTAATCACCTACCTCTCTCTTGTGGTCACTGAACCTTTCATACTTGGTCAGGACCTTTGCTTAGTTGATACCCAGGACTTGCGGGGGGACATCTAGCTTTTGGGGGATACCCTTCCCACACTCAGCCAGGCTGCTTCTCTGCTGTTGGGTGGTTCTACTGTGGATACCCATTCTCTCTAGCAAAGTCACCGTCTCCAAGCCCATCCAGGTCCTTCAGCCATGCCCAGTGTCCTTGCCTACCACAGTGGCATTAGGATATTGTGGAGGCTACCAGGGTAGACTCAAGGTATTCCTGGATCATAGCCACTAGACAGTGACGGGAAATCAAATGTAGATACAGTCAGTGCCTGGATGTGGCTCTTCAAGGGCATATAGCCTCCTAAGAGATGCTCAGATGGATTGTGACTATTCAGAGTGGAGGTGCTGGGTCATATCAGATGTCCAGAAATCAATAGGCACTCCCACCTGCCAGCCATGTCCCCAAAGTGGAGGCAGCAGGATTGAGGAGGAATAAGAAGCGGGAAGGAGCTGAGGAGGCTCTGGATGCCCTCTAGGACCAGAATTTCCCAGTCAGTCCTAAGTACAGAGAAAGACCACCCAGCTCCTGACCCTTGCTAGCAGGTGGAGGCCAGGGCTACATCTTTATTTTCAATAGTGGACATCAAACTACAAATCTCAGTGTGGCTGGAACAGAATGACTCCACAAACAACACTCAACAATAAGCAGCCAGAGCAGGAAAACGAAGCTGGAGGCTGGGTGTGCCATGGGAGCTGAGAGTAGAGAGAGCATAAAAAAGGCAGTCAGTCCACTGTCTGGGATGCCCATGAGAGGCTGAGCTGAGGAAGGGGAAGGCCATGTCCCTCCAGAGTACTAGGGACATGAGTTGGGGGATCCCCAGCTTTAACAGTGTGTGTGATAGATGCTCCCACTAAAAGAGAACAATATGGCCCCATCTTGGGCACATTACAATAACTGTATTTTAAGTGTTGGTGGGAAATTCTAAAGGCTCAAGAACAGTTAAGACCTGCAAACAGTGAGATGATACAAGAATGGTGAGGAAAGGCACTGGGAAACCCACGATCACTGTGGACTGATGAGAACATGGGGCTAGGGTTAGAAGATAGGCCCTGGCTCCTACAGGAATGGAATTGAACCCAGGCTAAACTAGGTCAGGACTCCAAGGAGTTTTCAGGACAATAGCATCCACCCATTCCAAGAGGCAGGGACAGAGTTTCCCTGCAGTAAGGTGCTCCTGCAATATGTCCTCTTAATACAGATGACTGGGTTAAACCACAAATGGACCCCTGACAGATGCCCAAAGACAGAGGCCTTGCCATGGGAGCTGCCAGAAAGGTCTCAGTAGACTTCAGTTCCCAGGAACTTCAGGTAGAGCAGTCAAAACACCCATGCATGAAACATTAGATCAGCACAAAAAATAGCACAACAGGAAGAGCTAAAGAGAATGAGATTAAATTCTGAGAAATTCTCTCAAACAAAAGAAATCCATAATATTTTTTATTATGTATGTATACAGTATTCTACCTACATGCCAGAAAAGGGCACAAAATCTCATTATAGATGGTTGTGAGCCACCATGTGGGTGCTGGGATTTGAAGCCGGGCCTTCTGGGAGAACAGCCTAACCTCTGAGCCATCTCTGCAGCCCAAAATCCTTAATCTTTTTGTTTATTTGTTTGATTTTTGTTTTTTGAGACAGGGTTTCTCTGTATTTTTTTGGAGGCTGTCCTGGATCTGGCTCTTGTAGACCCTGCTGGTCTGGAACTCACAGAGATCCACCTGCCTCTACCTCCCGAGTGCTGGGATTAAAGGCGTTTGCCACCCGGCCCAAAATCCTTAATCTTAAGAGCAATATATACCATGTAACAGAGAACAATGTAAAGAAGTCAAAGTCTCAAAAATGGCTAGAAAGGAAGAGACATTCCCACCCTCAGGAATAACAGCTTTTGAGCAGCAGTAATGTCACATGTCACTGAAAGAGAGTGCAGTGACATTTCTTTTTATCTTTTTTTTTTTGAGCCAGGGTTTTTCTGTGACTTTAAAGCCTATCCTAGCACTAGCCCTTTGTAGACCAGGCTGGTTTTGAACTCACAGAGATCTGCCTGCCTCTGCCTCCCAAGTGCTGGAACTAAAGGCGTGAGCCACCACTGCCCAGCCAGTGGCATTTCTTAGCTGCTGCCCAGGAGTATAAATCCAAACTAATGTCCAAGCAGAAAGGCAAAAGCAATGGAGACAGAAAAAATTACCTGAGTGTCCCTTTAGAAAGGGATCGATTGGCTCTCCGCATGCAGAAAATCTAACTGGCCTTTTCTCTAGGAGCTCTACACAAAAGCCAGCACCAGGATAAGATGGGCTGCATGAAGAACAGCTTCCAAGGTAGAGAGGATTGCTGTCACCTCTGGGGGAAAAAGAATGTAGGGGGCAAACTTCAAAAAGCACAAAACATCCTAGCACTCAGAAGGCTGAGGCAGGAGGATCACAAGTTTCAGGCAGCCTGAGCTACATGGCTTCATTTAAATTAAAATGAAAAGCTATGGGGAAATAACCAAAGCAAAGAAGGTGACTCATTGACTTCACAATGTCCTGGGAAGCATGCTGGCCGTGTGTTCACTGACAGATACATGGATGAAGTCATCTTTTTGTCACAGCAAGGAGAGAAGTAACTAATAATATAGGTGACTTACAGAACCTAAGGACAAGCCAGTACAAGAAGCAACTCCAACAGAGTCTGGGATGGAAGACTCGGCCTGTGAATACAGGGAAAGAAACAGAAGTTTGAGAATAATGAGGGGAGATGTGCCTGGAACAAGGCCCCAAAGCCTTCCAGGCTTATTTGGCAAGTCAGACAGCTGATGCCTGGTGTAGGCGAGGCTGTGGTGCACTTCAGGGGACAATTGGAGTACAGCCTGATGCCATGTGACCTGATGAAGACCACATAACACAGTTGGCCAGCAAGTTCTCACACCAGGCCACAGATGGCCCGTGTGAGGATGTGTCCCAACAGGAACGCTGGTGAGACTGTGTTTGAAATTAGTAGAGAAAGCATGGAGAAGGACTGTGAGGCCGCAAAGGGTACCAGGTCTGACAGGGTGAAGTGTCTCGCCTGCTAGATGCTTTATATTTCACATTGACATCTTGGGAGCCCAAGGTGGCAGGCAGCTGGAATACTGCACTACCACAGAGTGCTCTGGACTTGTCTCAGGCCTCACTTTGTCTTTGGTATTTCCTGGCCAGTACTCAAAGGCAATCTAAAACCTAGACTTAGTCATCCAGCACAGATGGAAAGAGCTTTGGGAGAAGCCACCTGTTTGTGGTCCAACAGATAGAGATGGCTCGTATAGGGAATGAATGTCCCTCTGCCTTCTGTGTGCTTCTGTCTAATGCTCCTCCAGTCTTGAGCAGAACCAACACTGAGGCAGGAGTGAAGACTGAGAGGGCAGGGATGCCCTTGTTTTTCTGTTTTCTCTTTGTTCCCTTGACCCCTGACATTGAAGATGACCAGTTGCACAGATGCCTCATAGAGCCAAGAATCTAAAGCCCCCCCTTGGGAAAAGCCAGTTTTGCAACCCAAAATGAAAAGGTGTATATAGAGCCTGGAAACCTTTGACTGGAGGGGAAGACAGGTGACAGACACCAGACAAGACAGGGTTCTGAAGGTGAATTTTCAAGGACTTGGAGCAACCATTGCTGCCATGCTCTGAGAAGTAATGCAGTGAAACAGAAAGTGGAGGCAATGCAATAAAACAGCAAAAGACCGAAGAATCAGGCAGCAAAATAAGGCAGACAACAAGAACCAAACAGAGAAACAAGACAGAGAAAAGAACCAGAGAAACAAAACAGACAATAAGAACCAAACAGAGAAACAAGACAGACAACAAGAACCAAACAGAGAAACAAGACAGAGAAGAGAGAAAAATCAGACAGGACAGAGAAAAGAATCAAATGGAAAGACATGGCAGAGAGGAAACAGAATAGTCAGACAGGACAGAAATAATCAAAGCCTAAGGCAGCAGAGTTGATTGGAGACAAACTGATTGGCAGAGCCAACTGGAAAACCCAGGAGGAGCCTTATACAAAGTCACCTGAGCTTAGACGAAGGGGCAAAGGCCTGGAAGCACTTATCTTCCTCCTCCACATGAAAATTGCCAAAGACCCACATGGTGGCTCACAAATCTTTAACTTCAGTTCTAGGGAATGCTCTATTTTGAACTTTGCAAGCCCTGCACACACTCAGTACACAGACATATGTGCAAACAAAACGTCTGCAGGCATAAACTAACAAAGGTCATTTTTTGAATTTAAAAATTAAGTTATCAGATTGGCTGTGTAGGGGTCAGGGCTAATACCTGTAATCCTAGTCCTAAAGCAACTGAGCTGGGAAGAGGGCATGAGCCTGAGGTCAGCCTGGGTTACTTTGTGTTCCAAGCCAACCTAGACTAAAGAATTAGATGCTGTTTCAAAACCAAAACCACTGGAATGGGCATCGGACTGTTCAAAACTCTTAGAAGATAGTAGGAAAAAAGACAGGATGACCTTGAGTTTAGCAATGAGTCCTTAGGTCAACCCCCCCACACGCACA